TTATATGATAACAGTTACTGCATACCTGGCATTGCACCTCACAATGAGGCGTAATGTTGATTTGCTGATGAAGTGACCTCTCTCTCTGACTTTAGCCCTTGTCTAGAGCTATTTTGACAGGAAAGAGGGAAAAGGAAAAATATATCTCACTCCCCACCCCTAAGGGGACTTACTTCCTTTTTCACAGTTTGATATCATATATAATAAAAATATGTATGCTCAGAACAAAATGTTTAAAACAAAAATGAAAATGTCTACAATAAACACCCAACAACTTGCCATCAGCTCTTATGAACTGCAGTGGTTTATTTCAATGTGTTGGCAATAGTACCTTGGTAATCATGGAGCTTCATCAGCAGCCTTTGTGGCTCATTTATTGGGAAGAGGAAAAGGTACATTGTGGATGAGTTCTGCTCTCCTCCAGTCCTGGGGAATAAAGTCCTGGAGGCAACTGGCAAACACACCATTCTGCCTCTCATGTCAAAAGTGGATCTTTTCTTTCTTAATTTTGTTTTATTTTTAAAAGTTTATTATATTCATGATAATGAGAGAGAGAGAAAGAGAGAGAGGCAGTCATTCTCGACAGGGTCTCCTCACATCATCATCTCTTCTCTTCAGCCCACCAGCTCATTGGGGTCTTGGGCATAGACCCACATGCCTAACAAGTTCAAGCTGATCCAGGAATCCAACCTCATAGTCAGCCCAGTGGTTCCCAGCACTGCAGTTCAGTTTACTACTGGCCATGCTACCATGCTGGTCCCTGAAGTGTGTCTTTTCTTGTAATACTATCCAGATTTGGCAGATTTGGTAAGCTCTTTTCTCCAAGATGTACCCAAAGGCTTGTGAACCAGATCCCAAATGTGAGTCAGTGGGAGAAGATGGGCTAGCTGGAGCCATGTTGATGTTGAGTGCAGCAGTGTCCTTAAGGCCCAAGGTTTCCAAAGAGTAGGTCCATAGGTGCAGACACTTCAGGAAAGAGTCAGTGTTTAGGAAATTGAGTTAAATATGATTTCTTTCCTGGAGAACTACTCAGAATCTTAAGGATAACAAAGACATTGAAAGGCACTAGAAAGGACTACTATATGGCTAATTGCTTAAATATGTTTGGACCCAGAACCTTTCAGGATGAATCTGAGTGACATACACCCTGACCCCAGTGTTCTAGGCAAATGTTGAGAGTGCTCAGTGCTCTAGAACTACCAGGGAGGGAGTACAACAACCTAAACCACTCTACACTCCAAGCCCTCTCCAAAGCCAAGTCCCCTGAACAGCTTTAATCCACATGCTGTATAATTTCCTGCCAGGAGAGAACCTACCTACCTTCCAGGTAACTTGCTGACATGATCTTTAGGTTATACTTAGGTAGCCCAGGTATGATAGACTAGAGGATTGGTACCACGGGACTACTGCCTCCAAATATTAGATATTTATTGCTTATAAATGTATTTCTTATGTCTCAGGACACCATCTACCCTGTGGCACCTGAGTAGAAGGACTGAGATTCAGATGGTCAGAGTTGGCTTGAGGTTTTAGCATCCATTTCTGTAGGGCCTGTGGATTGCTATGAAGATTTTGAAATAGAGAAGGTGGGGTTACTCTTCAATGACACTGTGACCCTTTGGTGAAGCCAATACATTACTGAGTCAGCAACTCTGGATGGTTACTTATGTCCCAGGTTATGGTTTTCCGTACATGATTCAAAGGTCAATCTATTTCTGGATCTTCTCTATGTGAAGACCCTGAGCTAAACCATTACTTCAGTAGGATTTATTTGGATCAGATCTGCCCAAGGGAAATCTTGACCAAGGAAGTAAGCATTCAGGGTTCCTTGGGGCTAGGCCTATCTTATCCACAAAATAATAATAATAATGATAATAATAATAATAATAATAATCGATCAAATTAAAAGATGAGAAAAGGAGCTGCTGGGCAATTCTCTAAAGAAGACCTCTGAATGGCTAAAAAAAGCACATGAAAGCATGCTCAACATCTCTAATCATAAGGACAATGCAAATCAAAACCATAATGAAATATTAGTTAACTCCAGTCAGAATGGCTAACATTAAAAAAAAAAAAAAAAAAAGGAAAGTTCTGGTGAGGCTGTGGTGAGAACTCTCCTACACTGTTGGTGGGAACATAAATTAGTAAAACCACTTTGGAGAACGATCTGGAGATTCCTCAGAAACTTACAAATAGAACTAACATAGACCTCGTAATTCCACTCTTAGATACCCAAAGGCTAGAAAAGCCTCTCATTCGTAAAAACACTTGCACACCCATGTTTATTTCAGCATTATTTGCTCTCACTAGGACATGGGATCAACCTAAATATCCAAAAATAGATGATAGAATTGAAAAAAATGTGGCATATATATTCTGTGGAATACTACTCAGCCATAAAAAATGAAACCCTGACATTTGATACAAAGTGGACCAATATGGAAGACTTAATGCTAAATAAAGCAAGTCAGACTATGAAAGACAGACTTTGTGTGTCCCCATTCAATATACAGTGTGTACTCTCTGTAGCAGAACCTGAAAGTTTGGAAGGTATGGTAGCAGGGAAGACAACTGTAGATACTGAAGATAGTAAGAATAGGGATACTATAGTGGTGAGTAATGGAGGACAGGAGGAGAAAGGGGGGAAAAGTACATTTAATTGACAACAAAATGAAAAGCGATTTGATGATAATGTATATAGTAATGTCTTTGTCTTGACTGATATGCATGGTATTCATACTGGAAAAAGAAATATACACTATAAAGATATATGTGACTAAATGTAAATTAAAATTTTTAAAAAAGAGGTCATACAATGGACACAACCTATTTCACTTTTTATATCCCATTCTATCTCAGAAAGACTTTGTCATCTTACCTAAGAACTCACAGCTTACTTAAGGATCTATGGACTAGACAAAATAAGTAATTAAAATAAGAGTAAGAACAAGAAAAAGTAAATGTGAAAGAATAAGTCAAGAGTAAGGTTATTAGGTATAGTTTAATGATAATTCCTGAGAACACAGATTTTATTCCACTCTTTTCTTTTCTTTTCTTTTTTCTTTTTTTTTGAGAGATTTTTGCTATAGGGCACATGTGCTCACCAGAAAGACAGAGAGAGACAGAGAGACAGAAAGCAAGAAATCACTCCCCACGGGGGAGGGCCACATCACAATCCCTTCTCCTCCATTCTCCTCTTGGGATCTTGGACACATATGCACACGTGCCCGGTGTGAGTTTAAGCCACCGGGTCTGGGACTTGAACTGCATTTGACTACATGGGAGTCCAGCGACATAGCCATTATGCCAATTGCTGGTCCCTTATTCCACTATTTAAATACATTACTAGTATGAATACTGAAGTATGAATTGTGTGAACAACACTAAGTGAAAATTTGATTATTTCTTCTAAACATTAAAGAATCAGACAGAAAAGTAAATTGTAACTGATTTTGGGACATTTCCAAGCTGCAGGATTAATAAAGTTCTATATTTTGCATAATCTCAGCTCATATAATTTCAAAACTTTTAAAACATTATCCAAAAATGAAGACATCATTTGAAAAATAATTTTTATGAAAAGCATAGTTGTCTTGTAGTATATTTCATAGCTACAGACAACAGACAATTCTTTTTTTTTTTTTTTTTGATTTTTGAGAGAGTATTTTTTTGCTATAAGGGTGCATGCACTCTCCAGAAAGACAGAGATAGAAATTGAGAAATCACCCCCCAGAGGGGATGGCCACACCGCAATCCTTTCTCTTCCATTCTCCTCTCGGGATCTTGCACACATATGCACACACACCTGGTGTGAGTTTAAGCCACAGGGTCCGGGACTTAAACTGCAGTCGAATATATGGGAGTCCAACGACATAGCCATTATGCCAACTGCTGGTCCCCTACAGACCATTTTTAAATGTAAAGTGTTTTGAAAAGTCTGACACATTTTAAAATACTGAATATAAAAATATTTTGCCAGAGTACATGTGTTCTCACTGGGAAGAGAGGGAGAGAGTCAGAGACAGTAAGAAAGCATCTCTCGTGGGTAACGGTCACCCTGAAATCCCTCCTCCTCTATCTCTCCATCCTGTCAGGATTTTGATCTTGTATCCACATGCATCTAGAATGTTTTTGCAAGCTGCACAGGGTCCAAAATTTGAACCACATAGTTGGGCATGTGAGATCCAGTCACCGTAACCACCGTACCATGAGCTCATCCCTAAATTAAAATTTTAAAACATGAAGGATTCCTTGAAGAGGCTCAATGAAATCTCATTTGATTTCATGGATCACTGACATAGTAATTATGCTCTACACATTAGAAACATGCTTAGTGGTGGGTCATAGTCTCCATTTGCATTGTCTTTTTTTCCCCCCCACTGGGTGGGGGAGGGGGAGAGAGAGAGAGAGAGAGAGAGAGAGAGATTGATTTTCTTTTGCTATAGGGTGTATGCACTCACTGGAGAGACAGAGCAACAGAGAGAAAGTGAAAAATCATCTCCCAGGGAGAGATGGCCATGTTACAATCTCTTCTCCTCCATTCTCCTCTCAGAATTCTAGGCACACATGCACATGAGCCCAGCGAGTTTCAAGTCACCAGGTCCAGGACTAGAACCGCAGTCAGCCATGTGGGAGTCCTGCATCTTAACCACTATGCCAACTGCTGGCCCCTGCATCATCTTTTAACAGGTGATGAATTTCTAATTTCAAGCCATTTTCTTTACATCTGATTTACCAAAAAAGGGGAAAGAAATAACTTACAAATGATATAATTCCATTTCATTTCTTTTCTGAGATTCTTGTCTGGGATTTTGGCTCTTCCAGCCCAATAGTATATGGCACAGCTGAGCTCAGGTTATCCCCTCTTAGACCCTTTCCTCTGTCCCCAACATAGTTAGTGCTTTTTTCTTTTCTTTTTTTTTCTTTCATATAATTTTTAAAATGGTAACAGAAAATGAAACTAGTAAGAGTTCTTGTAGGTAGACACAAGAGAATCTTACCTCTCTCTAGAGCATGGCCCAGAGCTGCAGCGAGCAGGAGAACCAGGACCCCCTTCATTTTCCTGCCCGTGAACTCTGCAACACCTCTTGCCTTCTGCAGATTACCACGTAAGAGATGACAGCCCAAAGAACCAGTTTCCTTTTACTAAGATTCTTGACTACAAGCTCATCAATTATTAATCGTTGCACAGAAGCAAGGGTCAGTCATCCTTGGCCCAAAAAAGATAAAATAATATCAATCAAGACAAATAGACACTCTAGGGACAACATAGTGGAAAATCTAGGAGATTTTAATCATTAACTTCCATCAGACTGCAGAAGTGCCAAGGTATACAGATGATTTTCCACTGGTATTTTTCTATTCTTTTTTTCTACTGCTGTTTTTCAGTAAAATGTATTTAATGTTTTAGTAAGAGTACATTTTTTTTAAACTCTCTTTACAGGGTTATGTGTTTTCTCTGGAAATTCCCTACCCTTCTCAAGTATACATGGAAAATTGGAGGTTCTTTCTCTTATTTTTCCCTTCACCTATCTGCCTCTTTTTTTTTTCTCTCTTTGTTTATATCTACTAAAATAAGTGTTATCTTAAAATATTGCATATCAGATGCTGTAAGTAATGAGGGGGACAGAGGGAATAGCCAATTCAGCATAAATTCTCAAATCCATCATTTATATGATGTAAAATTTTTAAAAAGAATTATTCATCTAATTTTATTTATTATTATTATTTCACTTGCTATAGGGTACATGCACTCATCTGAAAGAGACAGAGAGGGGAAAGTAAGAAAGCAAGCTACCAGGTCTTAAACTCAAAACAGTGGTCAGCCATGTGGGAGTCAGCACCTTAACCACCACGCCACCTTCTGGCCCAATGATGTAAAATTTTTACTTGAGATGATGGCCCAGTACTAAATTTACATTTAGGTACTATGTAATACACTTTCAGAAGAATATTCTTGATGTGAAGTAACAACATCTAGGAAAGTTAAATGACCTGTGCGCAATTCTAAAAAGTAAATTTGTGACAAGTCTTGGACCCCATAAGTTGGTTTAGAGCTCTTTTTATTACTATTATACAAGCAGTATATTTTGTGATAGTGTAACTGAGAGGTCACATTGGTTATGTAGGACATGGAATCCAACATCTTCATTTTGCAAGTAGATTGTGCAATTTGTCTAAAGAGGTAGGTACAGGGGTTGATTTTTTTTTTTTTTTTTGAATCAGTCCCCTTGGATTTTTGCGGTAGCCCTCTTTTTAGCAAACAGCCAAGTGCAGGTCAATACACAGGCTCTGGGTTCAAATCCCTACTCAATTCTTGTTGCTATGTAAACTCGGGAAATTTATTTGACCTCTCTAGACCTCATTTTCTTTGGATGCAATGTGATGATAACTGAGTAGCTTTGTCATAAGATTGTCATGAGGTTAATGAAGAGAATCCATGTATAGTGCTGACCCTAGGATCTAGCACATAGTAGCACGCATCCATGTTACCTATCACTCTTATTCTAATTATTGTCACTTTCCCTTAGTAGCCCTCTAAATTTTTAGTATCTGAGAAGTCCGTTGGACCTAATGAAGCCTAAAATTCAGTGGAAGATTTTAAAGCCAGCTCCATGTCCTGGTCTCACAGAAAAGTGATTCAGAATTCTCTTATCAATTCAGTAGTTAAAGATTAACTGCATAGGCAGATTCCATGACAATGTCAATAAACCACATTGAGCAGTTACCTTTTTAGTGAGATCCTTCATCTCTCTATATTGAAAACATGTGAGTGTTACCTTCAGAAAATAGGGTCAGGCTAGTTGGAGAAAAGTAACTAAGAGTTAAAGCCGAGATATCTGTAAGGTGAGTGGAAATCCAAATGGTAGAGAAACTACAGATAGTAACCCTTGCAAGAGATCATATGGGAAGACGCTTTCTTGTATTAGGACCAACTGTATCTTGTTCAAGGATGCTACAAATCTTCTAAATGTTCCTTTTCCTTTTGGCCCAATTCCCTCATTTAATTTACAAGTTAATTGAAAAACATGTTTTAGTCTTACTTTTAAATTATTTGAAAATACACTCTAAGTACTAAAACATTTTAAAGTACTAAGAACGCTGGAACTCAAAGGGAGTAATTGTTAACACGTTAGTATTTTTATTTCTATTTTTGAGATCCATTTTATACTTTTATATCCTTTTCAGTTTAATAGTACTTCAGTAATCTGTTGAGGATTAGTTCATTCAAAGATACACCTGGGTTATTTCCCATGAATTTTGCTATAGAGTTTAAGACCAGCCTCAACTGCCATCTATTAAAATGTAACTTTCTCTCTTTTTGCAATAACACTTACCCCTTTGTTTAATGATGAACTACATGGAGCAAGAATTGCAACATCGCATTTGGGTGTCCTCTTAAGAAATCTCTATGCCAGCTGCTGAGTGCATTCTTTTAGCTATGTTTATCTTTTGCTAACTGGAAATGGGCACTGACATGGTGGTAGCTAAATATATGGTCCTTTTTTTTTTCTGTCTTATTTATGTAACTCTCCTTAATATTTCAAATGTTGACTGCTTACTGTGATGCTAAAACTGGGAGGAAATGATCATAAATGGCCTAAATGAGAAGCCTCATGTGACAATGATTAGGCAGTCAGATGGGGACTAAAATGGACGAAAAAGGCCAAACTAAACCTTCTGACAGTGTATGGTATGGTAGCAATTATTGAAGGAACTCAGAAATGTATTACACAGATAAATACATTTAACAAGAATTGCTTGTTAAGTATTAAAGCAGGGGAAATTTATAGTCATTTTTCTGGTTAAGTAATCACCTTTTTTTCCATCTCACCATTGGCTTCAGAAAATAATGTAGATTTTTTTTTTCCCTAACTAGGGCTAATTTTAGGTGAAAACATGAGGCAGGCAAAGCCCATCTTTATCCTTTTTTCTATTGTATTTCTCTTTTTCTAATAACTTAGATCTTCCACTTTCTACCAATGCAGTTTCTTTGGCATTTTTCTTATAAATGCTTCCATTACAGTATTCCGGAAGAAATGACCTTCCTTAGAATGGCTCCATTTGCCAGTGTTCTCTTCATCCAGATTCCCTTTATAGTATTAAAGTACATTATCAGTTTCTTTCTCTGTTGAATGATCTGATGAAATGGGTATTATTAGCTTGAAGTAATACCCTGAAATTCCAATATCCTTGTAACAAGTTTTTTTTTTTTTTTTTTCCCCCCCAGAGGGCCCATGCACTCTCCAGAGAGAAACAGAGGTAGGGAAGGTGTGAAATCAACTCGTGGCAGATGGTTATGCTGCAATCCTTTCTCCTCCGGTCTCCTCCTGGGATTTGGGGCATGTGTGCATACCTGGTGTGATATTCAACCTGCAGTGTCCAGTACTCAAACCACACTTGGCCATGAGGGCGTCCAGAGCCTTAACCATTATACCACTGGCTGGCCTCCAAATCTCCCTTTTTACTTAACCTTATTCCAGGTGGGTTTCTGTCACTTGTAATTAATACTACTCGTACCTACCTTTAAATCTGTTACTGTTACCAGCTGTCTAACAAGCAAATCGGACCATGTTACTGCGTCTGTTTTTTAGGCCTTCAGGCAAATGACCATGCTTGAATTTCATGAGTTCCTCCTACCTGCCTCTGGAAGGGACTCTTCACTTTGTGTGTTAAAATCTAGCACTGCCGAACTGCTTACAGGTCACCGAACACATTGTGCTACTGGGTTTTCTGTTTAATTTGTTCTCATACTTCCCTACCTCCCCCATTTTGTATGTTTTGCTCTTCTGTATCTTTCAATAGAAGCCTGTCATGTATTCATTTACCATGCTTTTAATCACTTGTATTTACTTATTTTTTAAAAATTAAAAAAAAAATAGAGTATGCTATGTAGATTGTGGGTGCTCACCAGAGAGATGAGAGAGTCAGAGAGACAGAAAGTGAGAAATCACCCCCTGGGGGAGATGGCCATGCTGCAATCCCTGCTCCATTTTCCTCTTGGGATTGTGGGTTTCTGTCACTTGTAATTAATACTACTCGTACCTACCTTTAAATCTGTTACTGTTACCAGCTGTCTAACAAGCAAATCGGACCATGTTACTGCGTCTGTTTTTTAGGCCTTCAGGCAAATGACCATGCTTGAATTTCATGAGTTCCTCCTACCTGCCTCTGGAAGGGACTCTTCACTTTGTGTGTTAAAATCTAGCACTGCCGAACTGCTTACAGGTCACCGAACACATTGTGCTACTGGGTTTTCTGTTTAATTTGTTCTCATACTTCCCTACCTCCCCCATTTTGTATGTTTTGCTCTTCTGTATCTTTCAATAGAAGCCTGTCATGTATTCATTTACCATGCTTTTAATCACTTGTATTTACTTATTTTTTAAAAATTAAAAAAAAAATAGAGTATGCTATGTAGATTGTGGGTGCTCACCAGAGAGATGAGAGAGTCAGAGAGACAGAAAGTGAGAAATCACCCCCTGGGGGAGATGGCCATGCTGCAATCCCTGCTCCATTTTCCTCTTGGGATTTTGGGCATGTACACACACGCATCCAGCATGAGTTTTAAACCTCCAGTTTTGGGATTCAACCTGCAGTTGACTACGCGAGAGTCCAGCAACATACCTGTTAAGCCATCTGCTGGTCCTAATTTACCCATCTTTAATTCATACCACTTTGTGCCATGAATCCTGCAAGCTCCTGTGCTACAATGGCAAAAAGACCTGCATGGCCTTTCCACTCATGGGCCTTCTAACGTATTAACAGGCAGGCAGGTGTTGAAAACAAAACGGTGAACATAATGAAGTGGGACTCCGCAGGGAACGGTGGAGAAGAAGTAGATGCAGAGACCAGTGTGAAGACTGCTTTGGAAGTTAAGCAACGCACAGCAGCCATTTGGCCTGCGGTGCTGGCAGCGGGGTGAAGAGACTATTTAGGAGGTATTCTCATTTGGGGAGGTACCCGGCTAGATCTTCAGAGGGAGAGGGTAGAGTCAAAGATGGTACCAGGTTTCTACCTTGAGCAGGTAGGCAGATATTAATGAAAGTCTCTGTAGAGAAGACACTGGGGAAAACACCTGCTTGGAGGAAGATGTGTTGAGGTAGAGTTTTGACTGGTTAACTGCGTGTACTACCTTCAAGCCCAGAAGACAGTTGAAATTTCCAGGCTGCCCCGAGTCCTCCTCCTTCTCTGCTTTGCTTTCCCACAGT